CTACTACGACTACTACTATTACTACTAGTACTACCACGCTAGTAGCAGTACTAGAAGTAGGTGTAGTAGTAGTAATTTTTGGCTCCCGCTTGGCATGTCCGAAGACCCGCATGGCAGGTTAGACGTCGGCTTGAGGGCGAAAGGGGACACAGCATGCCACCCTTTGAGGCTTTCAGGCGACCTCTTGCGACTGTCACACATTAACCTCAACCCACACCCCTCACACTACAACATCATAGTAGTAATAATAGTTTCTAAAACTGCAAATTAAACCATGCGCAAGCAGCACAAGCCAAGGTCACTCAACACAGCCATGTCATGTCACAACAACGAGCGGCCTCCCTGACTTGTTCGGACTGTCTGGAGTCTGGCCTGGCCAAACCAGCTAAACCAGTTTTGCCCCAGCACGGCGCATTAGCCCATATGCCCGGCTGTCATCTACCCCCCTGCCGTGGGGTAGGTTGGCCTCAAGGCAAAGCCGAACGCCTCACACCCGGCCAATGGTGTGGGGAGCAACCCAGATGATGGGGCAGGGGTTGACTCCCCAGGTAAGGCGACCAAGACGAAGGCCAGTCAATGTACCAGGGGACACTTGACTCCCCAGGTAAGGCAAAGAAGACGAACGCCACTCAAGCAGAGCAATCATGAATTGTGACAATCAAGTGGCCTCCCAATGCCTCCCAGGATCCGGTACTGACGGCTGGTCTGCCTACCCACGCCCCCGCAGGCGCATTAGCGCATCGCCCTGCGACAGCCCGGCGCAAGGCTGTTTGGCCCTGGGGCGTGGGTTGCAGGACATTCCAAGCCGAGACTCAGACCGCATTCCCTTTGCCTGGGCCCCACACCCGGCCAGCGGTGCGAACGCCCTCTGTTACTGAAGCGCCAAGAGGACGTTTTGGTAGGGCGGCAAAGCATTCCATGAAGTCAAGCAAGACTGGATCACAGAAGCTCCTGTTGCGTAGTAGTAGTAGTACTAGTAGTAGTAATAGTAGTAGTAGTAGTAGTAGTAGTAGTAGTAGTAGTAGTAGTAGTAGTAGTAGTAGTAGTAGTAGTAGTAGTAGTAGTACTAGTAGTAGTACTAGTACTAGTACTAGTAATAGCAGTAGTAGTAAGTAGTAGTAGTAGTAGTAGTAGAATGAAGTAGTAGTAGTAGTAGTAGTACTAGTCGTACTCGTAGTAGTAGCACTAGCAGTAGCAGTACTAGCACTACTACTAGTACTAGTACTAGTAGTAGTTGTTGTTGTGTCGTACTAGTACTAGTACTAGTAGTAGTAGTAGTAGTACTACTAGTAACAGTAGTAGTAGTAGTAGTAGTAGTAGTAGTAGTAGTAGTAGTAGTAGTAGTAGTAGTACTACTAGTACTAGTCCTAGTAAAGTACTAGTAGTACGAAAAACGTGTTGTTGCAGAACTGATGAGCCGCTCAGAGCCTGTACAACTCTAGAGTACTGTTGCTTGAGCTCATGTCAAACCCACTTGCTCAGACGCTTGACCAGATGCTGCCGAGAGTCCCCCCCGGCTCGCGGATGCAGTATGAGCCGCTTCTTCAGGAAATCTGCCAGCCAGACGATGGTGTTCCCGTTCTCACCAGTTTTGATGACGAACTCTTTTTCGCTCTCTGTGACAGACCACAGAGCCCACGAAAAGATTTTGTCTAGCCACCGCTTGTCACCGTTCCTGAGCCTCACAAACGCACGGTCCTCGTGAACATGAATGTCACGGAAGTCGAAGACGACATGTCGCTCACCGGTTTTTTTGTGAACCAGGAGCCCCCGGCCCTGGTTATTCTCAGCAACTTGGAACAAACCTCTCTCAGAGATTTTGCGACATCCGGGGTCGAGTCGAGGATCCGGTGGAGCTTCGGCAGCCATGGGCGGAAGTCCAAGGCCAAGTTCCGGTTTAACCGGAACCTGAAGATGCAGGGAAGTCTGAAAGCTAATCGGTAACGCCTTCGAAGGCGAGTGAGACAGGTTGCTGCAAGCTTGAGCAGGACTGAGGTTCCGAAAGTATATTATATAAATGTGTGATTTACATCAATGTCTAGAGTCTCCTATGACAGGACACTGGGGCTTCTGTCCTCTTCTTCCTTTTCGCCACATGACACAGCGACAGCAACACACGGTGGTCAGTCAGCATACGGCCAAGTCAACTGTGAGTACTTTCGGAAACCCAGCATCACTGTCACTGCATGCCTGTTTCTTTCATGCAATGGTTCCTGTCTTAGATGCAAACACTCGTGTCACAGGCAATGGGAATGAATGACACTATGGCTCCTAAGGAATCCAACTCAGGAGCGGCAATGCAAGGTCCTGCTAGAGCGGTGCAGCCACGACGAGCCTCGGCAAAACCAGCAATCATCGGGCTGCTGAGGGCATGGGGAGGTGGAGGTGACAGACAGAGCATGAACCGCTTAGTCTGTGAGCTGTGACTTGTTCAAGAACCACACTGGCGGGACTCAACTTCTGCAAAGGAGCATGTCATGCAGGAGACGCGAGTGTCTGTAAACACTACTTGGCGGCCGGCCCTTTCGCAGAGTCAGACAACTGAAGTGCCACAAGCTAACATACTGACGGCATGACAGAGTTTAACGGACATGCTTGCTTACCGGAAACAAGGAATGGCCGAGAATTGCTCAATGCCCCCACTCGCTTCTGCAAGCACCTGGCACCGATGCCATAGAATTGCATGAAGTCGCCTGGCAAGGCAGGGTAGCTATATTGTGTCCACTTTGAATCAGTTTAGGCCCTAGGCTTAACGGACAGTCTTTCAGACTCCATACTCAACAGTCTTTCAGACTCCATAGTCAAGTGGAAGGTACATCTCTGGATCTTGAACACTGCTGGTCACATGCCAGTGCAAGAACAGCTGAAGAGTTGCATCCTGAATGAAATCTTAAGCCGAAAACCTCCTTAAATGAAAAAAGCCCGAGTCCGAAACCTTGATATATTTCTCATGGCTTCAGTTCTTAATCCTGCCCTGTGGAAAAGTGCATCTGTGCCACTCTACTAGCTCCGTCCAGCCACAGAAGCCAACGCCATATCCATTGTGCCAGTTTGACTAGTAGGCAGCCCTTGATTTAGTGTATTGGGAATGTCTTGAACCCTGAGCTCCTGCTGTAAGGCTGGGTTTAGGCAGGGGGTTTGCAGATTACAATGAAAGAGCTTTTACGCTTTGGGGCTCTAAGCAAACGGGCTTTCTTTCTCTATTTTGCAAGATTTTTGGCCTTGCTGGGATTAGACAAGATTAATTTTTAAAAAAAAAACTTCGAGACATGAATGATTCTGCAATGGTCCTTTCGGTCCCTGAGGCTCCGTGCATCCAAACTGGAATCTGCAGCTCAGCACCTGGCCACGCGACAACTTAACAGCATGAGGCCGCAGGGCTTCAGGGGTCGTCATGGCAGCACAAGTGTGAATCCAGGCCGACTTCTTTTGCCTGCACGCAGCAGAATTGATGTGCAGGTAGACGGCTCTCTTCGGTCGAAGGCGAAGGCGAAGACTGTGAGATCAACAGTATGTTATTACTAACTAGGTACTCTGATGCCATGCCGCGACCGCAGAGCAAAAAGCCTGAACTACCGGAAGACTTTGGAAGAGCTTCCGACTCCTTTCTGCAGCACGCAGCAGATGTTCATGTGCAGGCAGACGGCTCTTTCGGTCGAAGGCGAAGGCGAAGCCTGCTAGATCAAGAGTTTCTTATTATTAATAGGTACTCTGATGCCATGCCGCGACCGCAGAGCAAAAAGCCTGAACTAGCGGAAGATTTTGGAAGAGCTTCCGACTTCTTTTGGGTGCACGCAGCAGAGTTGATGTGCAGGCAGACGGCTCTTTCGGTCGAAGGCGAAGGCGAAGACTGTTAGATCAAGACTTTGTTGTTAATAGGTACTCTGATGCCATGCCGCGACCGCAGAGCAAAAAGCCTGATTGCGGAAGACTTTGGGACAAGCTTCCTAATCCTGGCACTCATTTCTTGCCACGGCGTTTGCCTTGCTGGCCACCTTTGCCCTTTCCTTTTTGGTACCAAGGACCAGCGCCCTGCAGGGGGTTTAAAAACTTGACGTCACTGTGCGACGCTCCAAGAAAGTAGCAGGGTAACCCGTACCCTAACGGTTCTCATGTAGTGGCAAGGCACAGAACCCTTGTTGGAGTTGCCCGGGAGGTCTTCATGGCCTCAGGCAGGTTGGGAATTAGGCTAGAAATTTGTGAATCTTAACTTTAAGAAACATCTGAAAAAGCTTCTGCCGATTCGACAAATCCAAAGAGCCTGAGAGAATCCGCGATCGCCTTCTGCAGTGGTCGACTGCCACGGCGCTGGGATTGTCCCATCCGGCATGAGGATCGTGGAGAGCGCCTCGGATCTGGGAGAAGTTAATTAGAAGTTTGATTAGTAGCCACCAATACCGAAAAAGACACGAGAATGCCTGATGGACTTCATTGTCAGGCCGCTCATGCCAGTGGCGACGAAGTCCAAGGCGAACCCCAACCCCTGGGGGTTGGGGTGCGACGCCAAGGCCTCCATGCAGCACCACGCCTCCTCGTCGACGCCGAGATCCTCCAACACCCTGAAGAGGCTGGGAGCCAGGTCCAAGACTCTGGTTCTGACCTGACTTGACTTCAATGGGAAGAAGCTACACCTAAACTGGAAGGACCAACGAACACAACCCAAAAACATCTATCAGGTCAGGTTGCCCGCTTCATGACGGGATTCTCCACAGCCTCGGGCTCGGAGTCGTCGACGGCGAAGGCGAGCTGGCGGGAGGAGGCGTGGTGCTGCTGGCCATCATCATCCTGCCGGCGCTTCTTCTTTGGTCCATCGGGCTGCTTGGGCGGCTCCTTCGAAGACGAAGCCGGAGCGGGAGGCTTCCTCTTGATCGGCCGCGCCTTGGGCAGTGGGGTCTTCTGCTTCGGCAGCTCCTTCGAAGACGAAGAAGGCGGCGACTTCGAAGTCGAAGGCGAAGACGACGAAGGCGATATCCCGATGCTGTTGCAACTGGAGAGGATCCTTATGTCAACAAGCAAAAATAAGTACAGACCCAGTGGGCCACTGGCAACCAAAAATTACCAAACAATCCTCTAATGTTACTTCTGACAAATGGCTTGAGCTCTGCATGTTCGCAGAGCTCCTTGATCCTCTCCAGCAAGAGGCTGCCGTTTTTGCGTCCCAGAGCAGCCTCCAGCACCGGGATCTTCGCCGGGTCGTCGAAACCCTTCTTCAGCGAAGGCGCCCAAAGCGACATGCCGAAGACGAAGGCCAAGACGATGGCGATGCTCAGCGAGCGATGGCATCCTGCTGAGCCTCAGTCTGCTGGGTCCAATCTGACGGTGCCAGAAGCAAGCGACAAAAAACGGACCGTTTTCAAATGTAAGCAAAGGAACAGGCCAAGGCGACGCAGTGCCAGTCGTCCGGGGAATGGCCACTTCGGAGACCGAAGACGAAGACCAATCCAGCAACAAAGGCGTCAAAACCTTCCTGCATCATTCTCAACAAAAACTTCTGGTTGATGAGGGGGTTCGGCTTTCCCTCCGGGCCCTGGTCTTCTTCCTCCAAGGCGAAGGCGACGGCATCTCAGCATACAAGGTCAGGGGGTACCGAAGGCGAAGACGAAAGAAAACTCAAAGTATTTCAAAGGAGCCAAGTGACTGTCGGGGGACATGTGTCTCCCTTTGCTGTCTGCCACGTTTTTCGGCCACTTTCCGCGGACGTCCCAAGTCGTGTGAATGTAGCCTTTGTAGAACTCGTGGCAATACCTTAGCTGGAAAAGCTAATGCCAAATTCCCAAATGTTCGCTCTTGCCTTAGCCAAGGTACCCAGCCATGACGTCTCTGCCCTTGCCTGGTCCTTGTCTCTTACCTCAGCTGACAGAGCAGACGTTGAAAGTGCATGATGAACAATCCCTCTTTGCTTGCTCCAACTGCCTCCAAGTTGCTCATGCTCGGGTAGTTGAATTCCGCTCCGAAGGGGACGATGACCCCGCCAGAGTCTTGCCCGTCATGCCCTCTGTTTTCGAACATGTCTCAGGGAGAGCGGAGTGGCAATGGACCGGCTATACGGAGCGGCACTGGACCGGCTATGGCGGCCGAATTGGCAATTGGAAGCTTATATTTGTGCCCAGCTTCGGGAAGTCCGGGTTGTGTTCTAATAAGGACCTGACCTCTGCTATATAAAAGTGAAGGAAGGGATGGAGGATCTTGGCAATTGGAAGCTTATATTTGTGTCCAGGTTCTGGAAGTCCGGGTTTGTGTTATAGACCTGACCTCTGCGAAGGAAGGGATTGAGGATAAAAACCAAGTACTTATCAACTTCACATGCACTTACAGTGTAGTTCCTGCTATGACAGTAGAATATAATGTAGCACCTGTCGGCAGCATGTCTCCTTTTTGTTGCATTGGACCCTGTCCGTGCATGTCTCTTGCATTCTGAGCAAAATGGCAGAAGTAGTGATTTCCTCATGTCGGATGTTGCTGAGTTGCCACCTCAAATCAGACTAAGACCAATGGCAGCCACGCTCATGAGGTCATGAACTCTGGGAGCAACCTCTGTGAACTTGCTGTGGGCACCTCGCTGCGGCACTGCACACGGTGGACGAAGGCGAAGACGACACACCTGGCACAGCGGCAGGGACTCAGAATCCAGACCCGCTTGCCCATCCTCATCAAAGAAGCTGCTTGAAACTAAAGAGGGGCACAGGTACGTTGCTGCAAACCCTCGCACATTTCACAGAAACCCAGTGCACGTGCTGTGGGCGGTTGCCTTCAATTTCCCGAACTCGCAAAACTGTGCATTCAACGAACTGAGCTCAGGACTGTGACTATGCCGGCACCCGTTGCCCGCATGTCCTTTAATGTTCAGTGAACGTTATAGGCTGCACCAGGCGACGTGAAACGATTCGGAATGTCCACTGCATCACACAACATGCACTCATGCCACCGGTGCTCTTCAAGCAATGACGGCAACATGCGCCACAGCACAGGACGGCGACCCAACAACATGTGAGAAAACCGGCCGGCCTCCTCATGAGGTACTGCAACAAATGCCTGCACTTGCACAGTTCATGTCGGAGACACAGACACATGCAAAGACGGACACACACACGGACACACACACACACACACACACACACACACACACACACAAACAGTGCACGCATAAACACAGACACACGGGCAGCACCGATCAACTGTGGCCCAGGTGGCCTCGTACAGGCACTGCACCAGCAGCGGAAGTTCCTGCATTTTGCGAAATAGAATATTTTCCTGGTAAGGTCTTCTGCAAGTACTACTTTTTATACTACTACAGGAAGAAAATAGTCGTACTTTCAAGCACTCGTGGGACAACAAGTAGTACTAGTACGACCACTACTACTACTACTACTACTACTACTACTACTACTACTACTACTACTACTACTACTAATACTACGACTACCAAATCACAGGCTTTGGCTTACCCAAACCTTTGTATACTTTACTTTTCCCCCCTGACCGGATCTTGCACCCAAAACCACTCCACGAACCCCGAATGCGAGCTGCGAACCTCTCGCGGGCAGCTTCTGCGAAGGCCTCCTGCGAACCTCCGAAGGGTTCGGAGCGAACCCTCCGCGAACCCGGGCAGGGTTCGTAACGAAGGGCCCCCGCAGCCACGAACCCTGGTTCCGCGAACCTTCCGCGAACCTTCTGCGAACCCTGCTCTTCTCTTTGCCCAAGTCAAGGGAAGGGCCCTGCGAAGGCGAGCCCGATTGCGATCGAATTCTGCACCCTCTCCGGCGAAATTCTCCGACACAAGGCCCTTCTGCGAAGGCTTCCCGGAAGGGCCCGGCGAACCCTGCGAACCCTGCGAAGGCTTGCTCTGAACCCCGCCAAGGCTTCCTGCGAGCCCCGCTGGCCCCACTCGAGATCGTGCCGAGGATGCCGAAAACAACTTTTCCCAGCCCCAAAAGCTTAAATCGTTCTTCTCCCAGCTTCAGGCAATTTGGTAGGTCCCCATGAAAACCTGGGGTGCTAGACAACAGAACAGCTTGTGTTTGGCTTGGAATACTTCCAGATGCCTCGGAGAATGCCGAAAACAGCTTTTCCCAGCCCGAAAAGTTTGAATTGGCAGTCTTGTGCAGTTGCAGAGCCAGGAAAAACCTTCAAAACCTGCTTTCTGACCAGATCTTCTTTTGCTTAAAACAACTCAGCCTGTACGGTCTCACGCGACCAGTCTGTCTTTGCTCGACGGAATACATTAAAACCTGCCCGGGGCTGCCGAAAACAACTTTTGCCAGGCTGAAAAGCTTGAATTGGCAGTCTCGCAGAGCTACAGACCAACAACTGACTTTCGTGCACACTCTCCCAGCCTCCGATTTGGTTGGATGCCAAGCAGTCTTTTGGTTTCAAATTATTACTAACCCCAAACTGAAACGGTTCTCTCCACTGCCCAGCCTGCCTTTTCTGGAGTAAAGCAAAACCTGTCCCAGGAAGCCGAAAACAACTTTTGCTACCCTGAAAAGCTTGAATTGGCATTTCCCTATGGTTGTGCTGATGTAATGTACTTAATTAAAGTTAAGGTCTCCCTGGCCACAACAAGGATACCTCTTGTGCTTTTGCCATACTGTTCCAGCTGTCTGTCCTGTGCTTTTGGAAGACGTCCTTTCCTGTTGGGGGAAGCCGAAAACGACTTTTCGGAACCCCAAAAGCTTGAATTGGCAGTCTCACACAGCAAAGCCAGGATTACTTGAATCCGCAACTTCGCAGCCTGCTCTTTTGCTGCATATCTCCCTAGTACAGTGTTCTTTCTTTGATAAAAACCAAACCTCTCAGGCTGTCTTTGTTCGACGGAATACATTACAACATGCCCGGGGCTGCCGAAAACAACTTTTGCCAAGCTGAAAAGCTTGAATTGGCAGTCTCGCAAAGTGACAAAGCAACAACTGACTTTCGTGCCCACTCTCCCAGCCTCCGACTTGTTTGGATGCCAAGCGAACTTTTGATTTCAATTTATCGAGACTGACACGGTTCTCTCCACTGCCCAGCCTGCCTTTTCTAGAGTGCCACAAAACCTGTCTCGGGAAGCCGAAAACAACTTTTGCCTGCCTGAAAAGCTTGAATTGGCGTTTGCCTGTGGTTCTGCTCATGTAATGTATTGAATTTTTAAAGTTAGGGTCTCCCTGGCACAACAGACTTTACTAGTACTCTCGAAACATGCTTTACCCCAGCTTTGCCATACAGCCAGGCTTTGCCCCAACTGTCCGGCCTCTGTTTGGAATACGTCTGTTCCTGCTTGAGGGGGCTACTTCTCACAACACAAAAGCTTCAATTGGCCCTCTGGCAAGCTGTGCACCGGCTTCCGATCCTGTATCCTATCAGGACATCCACCGAGCCGGCACACAGTCCTGCACCGCATGGCCTGCATGCCTCGGTTGGCGATGTCCTTCTAGGGCTTGAGTGCCTTGGCATCGCAAGACAAGTTAAGCGGAGCTTCGG